GGATTTTATACATTAAACATGGTATTTTGAAGTATGCCCACTAATAATTAAATAAGCCAAATCTGTGGGTAAAATTTAACCGTAGTGCTATTATTTTCCATTTCTCCATTTAATATGCTCTCTTTGTCCTTCTCCAATAGAGCTGAGTGGAAAATGGGACAATTAGAGGAACAATGACAAACTTTGCAATGGGACCACTGTGCTGTGTGGCCTTGGACAAGTCACCTCTTTCAGCCTCAGGTTCTTCAAATGTGAAAAGGGGGAAATGATACTTAAGGATAAAATAACATGTATAAAGCACATGGCAAGTGGAAGGTACCTGATCAGTGGAGGCTGTTATCATTCCTTTAATTCTACTGCTCAGCTCATATCTACTTTGACAAAAGGTGATGACTATGGTGTCCTACTAACTGTTCGGTATATGAAGACATGAAGATAGAATAATAACAGATGGTTTTAGATCACCCTTAGAGTTCAGAAGTTGGTCATGTTTATATTCTTCAAACAGTGTACATGTGTTCTGGTCTTGGGTCCTTAGCATTAGATACCAATGTTTATGAGATTGTTTCCTCTTGTCATTCAAATCTAGGTTAAATGCTATCTCCTTACAGAGTTTGACCATCTCTTCTAAAACACCCAGTCATGATGACATCACCCGTTCTATTTTCATTACTGACATCTCACTTGGTATTTGGGATGTTTACAACATTTTTAAAAAAAAAAACTATTTCTTTGCACTGGACTATATAGTCCACAAGAACAGGGATCTCTTCAGCTTGATCACTGCTCCTACAATGATGCCTTACATGTGCTAGGTGCTCAATATATACTTGTTCAAACAATGAATGCACGTTTCCACTCAGAATTGGAATCATAGTCTATTTTAAGGTTTATTCTGCTTCGTTTCTTCTGACCTACTGTTCTATTTTAGTATCAACTGCCTCGTTACATTAGAAAAGGATAAGGTCTTTACTTCTGACTACATTCCGTTTCTGTCTTTATGTCGCTGGTTTCTTTTATTGGTGTGGGTCATTTCCTTTTCTTAATGCGAGGCTGAATACACTAGAGTCTTTACTGTTCATAGTCTGTTCTTTGTCTTGAATTCATCCTGAATTCTGCTGGATAACAGTTCATTAATTTCTCATTAGAGCCTCTTGAGACCTCAGCTCCCACTAGATTTTGAATTAAGATTTTTCAATTTTTAACATTTTTCTATTCTTTCCCTCTTGTGATTACTTTTCCTTTGCATATTTTTATCTCTGTGTTAATCGTGATGACACATTCCGGGAGAGAACCCCTTATTTTGGGGGCAGAATGGGAAAATGGTATACGCTCAGAGGACCTGGGGACAGATTTGCTGTACACAGTGGCAGAGAGGCAGAGCAGAGGCAGAGCAGAGCCAGAGACGACCACTGACAAGTGAGGTGAGATGAGAACAAAGACGGAACGAGCAAGGTCACGTGTGAAGGGGAGTCGCATGGAGTGCTCTGTCATCTCTGCTCCTTCAGAATGGGACTGTTGCCAAAACTGATTGACTGGGACGAGAATGAGAGAGAGAGGAAAGCCATGGTCCCGAGAGCAGGATCATTCAATTCCCTTAGAGTGAATGAAACCTGCAATCTCATTTCATCTGGTGGCAGGAAATGGCATTAACGGTCAATGTGATACATGGACTCAGTTATGGGAAAAGATTTCCTACCAACCAAAGTGTGAAGAAGTGAGAGCAACTATTTTTCACTATAAACATGGAAATTAGACTTTGTCAAGTAATGGTCCAATCTACAATTTAACATGCTGGAATATGAAACTACAAGATGTCTAAAATTATTCCCATCTGTCATCTTCTTGAAACAAACATAGCTTTTCAGAACCACACTCTGCATGGGATAACCAATAGCCTTTATTAAATGTGGATTTTACCTCACATTTCGGTAATTTAATTTAATTTTGTTGGCTATGAAAAAATAAAAAAACATCATTTTAGTACTGTTAATCTTCATTTCTTTGGCGATAGCTTGATGTAAAGTATAAAAGAGTTCCAAATAATAGATTGTATCAATCAAACTTATGAGATAGCAACAATTCAGAAGCATTGTATATGCAAAAGATATAAAGATCTGCTAAAGCTATTGCTAAGGACTAAGGATAATTATGATTTTCTTAAATGAGAGAAAATTACAATCTTTGTTACTAAATTCATGCACACTGCAGAAACGTTAAAATGATTTGAGGCTTCTTTTCTCCCCATGAAGAAACCATACTCTTTGCACCTGCAGTGACCTTATGTGGCCTCCAAAGAGTAAACTCGTGACTACTCAATACAATAGTAAAACTAAGTGTGATAGACAATACTTGCTGGACCTCTGGTGGCAGCCAGGGAGGTGATTAGAAATAAAAATAACTGTGAAGCAATTTGGTTTCAGTATTTAATCTCAAAGAAAAATTGACCAGAGACTCTTATTGAGCCAAACTTAATGACTCAATTACAATTCCTTTTCTTTCTTTGATGGAAAAGAAATAGTAAAGAAGAGGGGAATGGCCAACCTGTAACACTCACACAAAGGAAGAAGAAATTAGGTAACCTAAAAGTTATCAAAACACCACTTTTCATAATAGCAGTAAAAGGAGCATACCAGAAGGCAGAGGGGTTCTAAGTATAAAGAAATTTTGAGTGTTACAGGCTAGAATGGGAGTCACTATTCCCCTAAGACTCTAAGGACTATTTGATCTCTCTCTCTCTCTCTCTCTCTCTCTCTCTCTCTTTCTCTCTCCATTTATCTATATTTCTCTGAATATGGAAGGCAGACAGATGGATCCATAGTAACATAGGTTAGAATTGATGGTGGCCTACGAGTAGACATGGACAGAAGATTAAAGAGATGTTCAGGAAAGCTAACAATCAACATGAATTATAAATTATTAAATTTGATGTTAAGTAGTAGAATTTAGTAGTATATTGAGGTTGGCTTATAAATATTTGTCAAATCAATGAATGAGAAAAGAAATGTTTATGGTTTGGGTATTGGGTGACTGGTGGTGCATTGATTTCTTAAAGAACTTAGTGAGTTCATCTAGATAGGTCCCTTCCCTAGCCCAAGGCCACATTAAAGATACCACTGTATCAGCTATATTATTTTCAGAGTTGTATATAAGTTAGGCACTAGAGCAAGAAGCAGGGTTTATTATTTTTAAAAGAAGAGGAAGGGAAGGAAGTAGGTCAAACCCTGACAATGGAGACAGAGGACAATGAAGACCAAATGAGCTGATCAGTTCAAAGGTGATGTGTTTTTTATTTGTATGCTCAAAAGCAAATACAATAAGGAAGAAATCTGGGTGAGGGAACCTCTTTTACTTTTAAACAGAGCTGGTAGATGTGTGTGAGTGTGTGTGTGTGTGTGTGTGTGTGTGTGTGTGTGAGAGAGAGAGAGAGAGAGAGAGAGAGAGAGAGGACAAGTAAATACATTGGGCCATGACAACCTGTTTGGATGTCATCAGTTCATCAGTGTGTATGATACTGCTTTTTCTGATCAGGCTTCAGGAGTGTCGAGATAATCTCTCCAAACAAGTTCACTTGTATTAGTAACAGAAGTAAAGATAGAAACCATTAGAAGGTAAGCTTTTGGGATGCAGATAAAAATAAATAGTATCTGTACATGGAGAAAATGTTCTCTTTTTGGAGCATAGCATGACCCTGTTTTTAGTCCTGCTATGTGCATATGTCTGTATATACACAGATATAATTTTTACAAATACTTTATCATGTTATTTAGCTCCCCTCAAATTACATGCTCATTTGATTTCAAATCTCTACTTTGTTTCTTCCCCTGAAGTGTCTTTTTCCTTTCCTACCTGAACCCCGTCTTCTTCACAACCCAACTCAAGCCAAAGCCTTTCAATAAGATTTTCCTTGAGTATTAGTTTATTGACTTCTTCTATCTCTGAATTTAAATCATAGACAAGTATTTCATTCTATGCACCCTCTATTCTCCTGAGCTCAAGCACAAAATGTTTGCATTCGGGAGGTTCCCAATAAATTACTGTTTGGTGAATTAGTGAAGAAAATATGGGTTCACTCCCCCAGTAATGGAACTTTTGGCTTCCTCCCAGCATTCACTCCATTCCACCCTCTCACATCATGTCAGAGCCACTGACTGGGTGGGGTTGACCCTCTGCTAGTTCCAGGAATGGGCCTTGGTTGCCTAAACCAGTCCGCATAATCCCATCCCTCTGGCAACAGTGATTTGTTCAAGTGTAGACCCATGATCTGACCTGGCCCAATCAGAATGAAGCATAGGATGGTTGCTAGTCTGTAGTAGGGAGAAGTTCTGACTCTTTATGGATCTTGTGATGTGCAGATGTTATTACTGGAACTGTTGCAATCAGTTTGCTAATGTGGGGGAAGGCAGCCTGAAGGGAAAGCCAGGAGAAGACAGAGCATCACTGAGAATGGGAGTCAGTAGTCTGGCCAAACCATGCGGAAGCCACTACCACTGCTGGAGGCTTCAGTCATTTCAACCAATAGACTCCCTTTATAGTTTAAGCCTGATAATGAGATTTTCTATAACTAATACGCCTCCCTATTATTTGTTGAGTTTCTCCTATTTTTAAATCTTTGGGATACAATATGTAATTTGTCTTCTTGCAACCTAATTCATTTAGGGAAATACATAGCAGCAATCTTGGATAACATTACTAGCCTAGTAAGATCATTATATATTTTTGATGCCTATGTCGATTCTAACCAAAGTCATGCTCACAAGTGGTAAAATAATAAATTGAGAACTGTTTCTATCACAATTTCTGCTCAAGGCGATCAGTGTTCTTAGGCATTTAGAATTGATATTGATTTATTTTATTAATTAATATCAAATATTTCCTGAACATTTACATCCATTCTAATTGTGTGTGGATAGACATACATTGCGTGCAGGTACTTTGCGAAAGATGAGCTTCTGCTTAATATTCCTCAGGGTTTATGGCAATATATTAAATGTAGCTACCTTTTCGATGAAACTGAAGAGACCCCAGCAGACATATGGATTTTAGCATCTCTGTTGTGTACATTTCTAAGCAGCACTGCAGCTGGATATAAAGCCGACAGATTTCTGGATGAATCTCACCACCTTCCGGGCTGCAACACAATGAAAGAGAAAAGCTGTGAACATTCTCAGGATTTCACTCATCAGCCATTCGCCTTAGCTCTGAGAGGAAAAGGTGCTCAATAATGCTTCCTTAAATCTTTGAGTCTAAAATTTAGGACTTCCTGCTTTCAAACCAATGACCAATTTCATAGTTCTTACGTAAGTGTCTTTCTGACTAATAGCTCTTAATTTTTTCCCCCCTTCAGCAGCAGATTTCTGCTGGGAGCTGAAAATCATAAATGTTTTAAGTAATTGAAAATATCAGATATTTTCAACGTAACTATTGGAACAAATTCCAAAATATATTTAAACCATAAAAATATCCTAGCTTGCAAGAAGAGATTAAAACCTCTTATTTTCAGAGAGACAAATGAAGAGCTAGTCAATTGCCAGTGGTGAGATAGTTCTTTAATAGTTAAGACCCTAGCATAATATGATTAGAGAGCCAGACACACATTATTTTTATTGAAGGCTTTTGTTTCTGTCTAAAGGATGTCCTTTATTGTTTGCTATGGTTAATTTATGAGAGGCCAAAAGTTTTTAATGAAAAAATAAAATTTTTATGAAAAAAGAGAAAAGTTATAAAATTCTAATAATTACGCCTAACAATCTAGTGCTAAATACTGAACTTATGTTTTAAAATTTATTCTACAGTCCTTGAGCCTTTCTCTATTAACTACAATAAAAATATAAATGTGAATATGACAGCCCTAGCTGGTTTGGCTCAGTAGATAGAGCATCGGCCCGTGGATGCTGATTCTCTCCACTGGGGGACATGCAGGAGGCAGCCAATCAACGATTCTCTCTCATCATTGATGTTTCTATCTCTCTCTCCCTCTCCCTTCCTCTCTGAAATCACTAAAAATATATTTAAAAAAGAAATGTGAATATGATAAAACACAAATGATCACTTTTATTTTTTGATTAAGAAAAGAGGAGTTAGTTGGCAATAAAACTCTTTTTTAAAAATCCTCACCCAAGGATATTTTCTCCATTGAATTTCAGAGAGAGTGGAAATGGGGGTGAGGAGTAGGAGAAAGAGAGAAAGAAATATCGATGTGAGAGCGACACGTCCATTGCTTGCTTCCCACAAGCATCTGATTAGGCTGGAGTGAACCTGCAACCCAAGTGGTGCCCTAGGCCAGGATTGAAACCGAGACCCTTTGGTGCTCAGGCCGACCAGGGCAGAACTCTTTCTTTTATATACAAGTAAACTAGCATGTGTTGAATAAAGCAAACTAAACAAAAGGGATAAAGTTTAGAGCTAGATTTAAAATGGAAGAAGCTTACAAGTGAACTCTGTCAATTGTCCTAATGTGTTATTTTTATTTCTATCCCCATTCATTTAAAATGCAGTGAAATCTGATGACATAATGCAGTGTTTGGATTTGATTCCTTTGGAAAGTGGGTCAGTGGCAAAATGTCTGGGGTAATTATCAGGAGAAAAATTGAGGCTTCAATTTTTAAATTCTGGATGTAAAAGGAATTTGTATTTATGCCGCACTTTACAATGACAGTTTTCATTTTCAATACTTATTTAGTGGAGGAGCCAGAGTGTGTCTAACTTTGTGGCTTACATAACCCCCAAAGATGCAACATTCTTTGCTTCAGTGCCAGTGAGGTGCACACTCATCCTGTGTCTTTCCTGTGTCAGAAAGAACAAAGTGTCTCAAAAGAGCTTCCATGCAAAATGTGGCTTTAGCAGAAAAATAAAAGACTACAATACTCTCTCATTTGTGTCTCAGGGTTCTAGCCCTAGGCCAACATTGGGATCAAGCATATCTCTAAGTAGAAGTTTCCAGATTTTCTTTCAGAGCTTCCTCCCGTGGGTGCCTCCCACCCTCAGGCTGGACCCCATACTCCTCCACCACACACATAAGGTCTCATTATTTCACAGCATCTGAGCCTTTCAAAAAGTCTCTGTCTGTGGCCCATCCCCGTGTGGCCCCACTAGATTCTGAAGGGATACTGTGTAATCAAAAGTCGTGCTGTATGTTACCTGCTAATACATTGACTCCGATAGAAAAATGTGAAGATAGTGTCTCATCCCTAAGGCAGGTTAGAGGGAAAATACTTTAAGGCAGGCAGGTCTTTTCTGTGCTGCTTCATCGTCCCAATCCTAGCTGCCTATTTTCACCTACGCATAACATTGGCCCTGGTGGCTCATATGCAGATTTTAAAAACCACCTATAGTAAATCTGTTGTATGTATTGTACATTTGATGAGTGGGACAATTAGCGAGGACAATATCATTCCAAGCCATGGAGTATTCTTATTTTCAAAGATATAAAATATGTGCTTAGTGGCTTAGTTCCAAACATATGCAAACCTCATAGATAGATGACATTTAAAGTAATCTAAAGAAATGACTAGAGTTAATATTCTAGTCATAACTTCAGAGCCAGTATGTTTTGTTTATTATTTTGTAGCTAGACAGAGAGAGCTAAAGCAATGCATTAAGTGCTTCTGTAAAAAGGCAAATCGAAACGGAGATTAAAATGCCTAATTCATAGCATTTCCTTGGGTGCCATCTCCCTAATGCCTCTGTAACCAATGGCGATTCCAGGAACTGTGGAACCATTTCGCCCTTTGTAGCTGTTATGGGAAGGAACTAAATAGGTGCCACTGGAAGTGGAATCTGCCAAACTAAAATTAATTGTTGCTAAAGTTGCATTACACATTTCCTAGTTAGAAACTTCATACATATACTCGTGGATTATCCTTTGAGAACTTGGAAAAATTGAGAAAGAGAGGAACTAGTTAAAGAGCAGTGGAAACGTTATCTTTCATGTCAGTGATTCATGATCCCTTGACCGGGTTCCATTAGCCTCGAGACTTGTATATTGTATTTTTCCCACATTAGAGCACTCAGCTGTATTGCTAATTACTAAAGGTTCATTAAAAGGCAAATTGTCAAGTGGGTTATACTATGTTTAATGTTATAAGCAGTGAACTGAAACACAGTTTTGAGAAGCATTAAGAACATTTAGGTTATTTTCATAACAAATGAGCAAGAGTCGGAGCATGGGGAATGGAGGAAAAGCCAAGAAGACAGCAATTTGAAAGTTTGAAACTTCCCAGGGATAAATGGTAAAGCCTAAGGAAACATTCACATTAATGTACCTGCCTGGTGTGCTCAGTGGATGAGCGTCGACCCTTGAACCAGGAGGTCACGGTTGGATTCCGGTCAAGGGCACATGGCTGGGTTGTAGGCCCTATCCCCAGGAGGGGGCATGCAGGAGGCAGTCAATCAATGATTCTCTCTCATCATTGATGTTTCTATCTTTCTTTCCCTCCCTCTTCACTCTGAAATCATATTTTTTAAATAATGATTTTAAAAAGGAAATGGCAGCAACTTAACTCAGAGCTAACTTTACCGAATATCACTTAGACTTAGTCTACAATGATTCATTCTTCTTAAAGTTTAGGTCTATGAGACATTCCTGAGGTGACTGATGCTCATTCAATTCAGACAAAAAAAATTTTATCAGTTAGCGACTAGGTTGTGATTATTTATTTTCTTATGAGCATAAGTCAAAAGCTAAACTGATCATTTTGATTATGTTGAAAGCCTCAGTATAATAGGAAAACACCCTAGAAATGAACGTCAACAATAGTTCAGTGATTTAGAGCTCATGTTGAATGCAAAAACATTTAAAATAACTGCCAAATAATGTATCTTTCAAATAATTCCTTAAAGACGAGAATTAGGATTTAATGTCTTTAATTATCCGACTTAAGAAATCTGAACTGATATAGTAACAGGGGTACATGTGTATGGATATCGCCTCAATCATCCCTTGATGATAGAAACTCTTTCTATTGTGGATATTCTTACTTCGTAATTCAAAAAAGACTGATCAAGCCAACTATCAGTGATGATGTGCAGCAACAGAGACTCTCATGCATTGTTGGTGGGGGTTAAAATGGTACAATTCCTTTGAAAATAGTTCTGAAAGTTTCTTATAAAACTAAACATACACTTGTCCTCTGACCTGGCAATTCCATTGCTAGGTAATTACCCAAGAGAAATGAAAACATTCACAAAAAGATCTCTATAGGAGTATTCACAGTAGTTTTATTTAGAATAACCCAAAACTGGAAATAGGCCAGGTGTCTGTCAAGAGGAAAGTGGATAAAGAATTCAGTATATTTCCACAATAGAGTAATACTGAAGAATTAAAAGGAATGAACTCCTGACACACGAAACAACACAGATGAATCTCAAGAACATGATCTTCAGCGAGAAAAATCCCATAACACAAAAGAGTAAATAAATCATAACACCATTTATATGAAGTTGTAGAACAGATAAAACTAATTAATAATGACAAATATTAGAATAGTGATGGGAAGGGGCATGAGGGGAGGAAACTTTCTGGGCTGAGGGTAGATAGAGATTTGAGATACATGAGTGTATTCATTTGGCAAAACTTACTGAATGGTTCACTTAAGATTTATGTATTTGCTTATAAGAAAATTGTACCTAAAAAGAGAAACATAAGCAAGTATTGACCTCTAGTTAATAATATGCATGCTGAACTGTTCAGGAGTAAAGTTTACTGATGTCTGCAACTTCAGAAACATAATGTGAATTTCTGGTTGGATAGAGGGATGAAAAGACAGGTAGATATGTGGTAAAGCAAGTGTAATAAAATGTTAATTGTAGAATCTAGGTGATGGGTATTTTCTTGATGTCCAAGGATTTTCATTTCCCCAACTATTTTCATGGCATAAATTGAACAAAACAACTGAGAAGCTTTATGGCTAGTGAGGTCAAGTTTAGGAGAGAACACACTGGGATTTCAGTTACAAAATGCCTTGGCCCTGTGTCTGCTTTTTTTGCCGATTTTGCCAGACTTTGGTGTTCTGAGCAGCTACTAAAAGCTTTTTGAAAACCAGCAAATGTTTGTTGTTTTGAAAGTCTGTCCCTAATGTAGTGGTTTATATATTTAGTTGAAGGCAGCAAAACATAATAAAAGGAAAATGG